AAAGCTTCAAGCAGGGGCAAACCTAGCCCAAGAAAGAAACCTTGAGGGTTACAACTGCTGGCAGTGCTACAGGGGTGGGGCCAGCCGTTCAGCGTTTACACCTCGACCACACCTTGCTCTGGGTGCTGGACATGGGACTCTGGGATTAATGTTTTCCCTGCTGGGTTTCAGTCTTGCTTTGGCCCCATTCCTTTCCGTGTCCTCTTTCTCCCTTTGGAATGGGAATGCTTACCCTGGCCATTGTGGGTCCGCAGTGTTTAACTTCCTTTTGATTTTCACATGGTCTTACAACTAAGAGTTTGCTAGAGTGTCAGAGAAAGCTTTGGAATTGGCCTTTTCAGCCCTTCTGAAACTGTTAGGACTTTGGCAAGTCCTGGAGAGGGACTAAATTTGTTTTCTATAAAGTGATGCTCCTGAGTCTTTGGGGCTCAGGAGTGGAGACACTTATCATCATATAGGTCTCTTTAACGTCCTCCTTTTATGTTATATTGCCATGCCTATTACATCTAAATCCAATGAATGCCATCAGAAGCCAGGCATGGTGGCACACACCAATAATCCTAGCTACATGGGAGGCAGGAGGATGTAAAGTGTGAGGCAGCCTGGGCAGCTTAGTGAGACCTTGTCTAAAAATGACTCGTCGTCTTCGTCATCATCATCAGTTGTGTGCCATTAAGGAAATGAAAAACAACAATTCTAAGCTATCATCTTACTCCATTAAGAATGGCTGTCAAGAACACAAAAACAACAAATGCTGACAAGATGTGGGGAAAAAGGAAACTTTCTGCATTGCAGATGGGGATGTAAACTAGTACAACCATTATGGGAGGGTCAGTATGGAAATTTCTCAAAAAAACGAAAACAAATTTCATTTGACTTAGCTATATCTCTTGGATATATCCCTAAAAGAGTTAAAGTCATCATATAATAGTGACTTTTGCATATCCATATTTATAGCGTTGTAATTCACAACAGCTAAACTACGGAAATAGCCTACATATCCCATCAACAGACAGATAGAAAAGAAAATGTGGCATATATCCACAATATGGTGTTATTCAGCCATAAAGAAGTCATATGTCAGAAAATGTAGGGATCTTGGATCTGTAATGTTAAGTGAGTCTCCTTTAGCATTTCTTTTAGAACAGGTCTGCTGGCAAAAAGAAAAAAATTCTTTACTCTGAAATTATTTTTATTTGCCTTTATTCCTGAAAAGTGCACTATTCACAATATTGAATTCTAGGAGATTTTCCCATCAGTTTGAAAATGCGGTTTTTGTGTCTTTAGCCTTCTACCATTTCTGACAAGATGTCTGCAGTTGTTTGAACCACTGTTCCCTCTGTGTGATACAGTTTTTCTCTGGTTACTTTCATGTTGTATTTAATCATTGGTTTTAAATAGTCGTATGTGGCACGGGTTTCTTTTGAGTTCTATTTGGTACTCAATTTTTTTTTACTTAATTTATTAAATCTGCAAATATGTGTCTTTTTCTTGATTTGGAAAGTTTTCAGCCATTACTTTTTCAAATTTTTCCTTCATCCACCTTTTCTCTCTTCTTCTTTTGCAGTTGCAATGATCTAATCATGAAACCTTTTGTTATATATCCCCCAGGTTTCTGGGGGATCTATTCAAATTTTTAAGAAGTTTTTTCTTATTCTTAGGTTGTTATTTCATTTTCAGTTCTCAGTTTCCATTTGGTTCTTTGACATTGCTTTAATTTTTTATTTTGGTCCAACTATTTCAGCAGAGTTCTCCCTTACTTTATGAAGCATTATTATAGTAGGCAGTTTAAAGTCATCTCAGGGTTGGCATCTCTCCTGGTCAGCTTTTCCATTGCTGGAGCAAAATACCAGACACCCACAACTTGAAGGAGGAGAGGTTTATTTTGGCTCATGGTTTCAGATTTTCAGTCCACGGTCTGCTGGTTCAAAGGCAGAAACATCATGGCAGACGGGTGTGGTAGAGCAAAGCTGCGAGTTCATGGTAGCTGGGAAGCAAGTAGGGGAGAGAGCCAGAGAGAACACCTTCCGAAGGCACAGTCCCAGTGACCGACCCTCTCCTACCACCGCATTCACCCATGAATGTCAGGCGATCAAGCCACTGATGGGAACAGCACCTCCATGATCCAGCCTCCTCTGCAGGTGACTCTTATTCTGATCAAGTTGATGATACCTACCTGGCCCATCATGTGGTGTCTCTTCCCTTGAGATTTGCTGAGGTTTTTTTTTTGGCCCCTGGTATGTTGAGGGCAAAGAAATCCACAGATGGCCATCAGCACGAGGATTCAGTTCTCGAAGCCCTGCTTTGCTACTTCACCTCAGCTCGATCCATGACAGCTCAGACCTGAGCCCAGGACTTCACTCTCAGGTGCCAGGGATCATTTTCTCAGCTACCTCCTCTCTTCTCTTGCGTGCTCACCAGATCCTACTGTTTCCTTATTCTGGTCTTTGGCTAGAAAGCCAGGATCTTACTTTTCCTGCCCTTTCACGCAGTTCCTGTGGCTCAGTCTGCCTCTAGAGTTAAATACTCACGTAAAAGGAAGAGAAAATAAATAATAGAGATTCTTTCCAGAGCCAGCATCGTGGGCGTGCAAGCTGCACAGCCTCGCAGGGCACCCCCTCTAGAAGGATCCTCCCTCGGCTCAATGCTGTGCTTTCACCACCTTGGCATTTTTGGTTTCTGAACAAGGGGCACTGCGTTTTCACTTCTTTTGGAACCCATAAGTGATATACCTTGTCCTGATTTCCCTACATTCTGCAGACTCCTGGAGCCCATTTTCCCAGTTCCTTGGCTCAGAGACAAGTTCTTTATCTCAGATATTTAGGTGCCTGGGTAACCACTACAGTCACTGATGCGAAACTGGATCTTGCCCTGGAAGAGTGGCCTAGAGCTAAAACAAAGAACAGAAAAATAGGGACTCAGTTCAGCCTCTCTCTCCCATAGCAGTCCCTGTTCCAGGTTCTCCTGGAGATTTTTGTTTTGGTTTGTTTTCCTGTCTGTGCCTATTGCATAGTTTTAGGTTTTGGGCTTCCTTTGAATTTCATCTGAGAGATAGAAAAGAAAAAAAAATCAGGAAACTCACCACTATAGTGCTCACCCACATGCAGAAATTAGAAAAGACCTCTGTCTCTCTCTGTACACAAAAATCAACTCAAAGTGGATCAAAGACCTTAAAGTAAGACCACAAACTCTGAAATGACTAGGAAGAAAACATAGAGGAAACACTTCAAGATACTGCTGCAGACAATAGTTTTCTGGATAAGATCCCAAAAGTACAACAAACAAAAACAAAACTTGACAAATGGGATTAATTTAAACTGAATCGTTCACTATCATTAGCCTTCAGGGAAATGCAAGTGAAAACCACAAGGAGGTATCATCTCGCCCTGGTCAGAATAGCAGTTATCAACAGAAACAAAAATAAATGTTAGTAAGGATGCGGGAAAGGGAGACCTTAGGGGTCCTGCTATTGGTGAGAGTGTAAATGAGCGCAGACATTATGGAGAACAGCATGCAGGGTCCCCAAAAGCTAAAACCTGGAATATAAAAACTATGACCCAGCTGTCCCACTCCTTGGTGCACAAGCAAAGAAAATGAGGGCCAGCGATTTAGCTCAATGGTTCTGCTGCCTGCCTCACAAGCGCAAGGTCCCGAGTTCGATCCCTGTGTAGCAAAAAACTGAACAGAACCAAAACAACCAAAGAAAATGAAGTCAGCACACTGAGGAGTCACTGTCTCTCCCGGTTTACTGGGATAATTTAGCACTATTCATAGTAGCTAAGATATGGAATCAGTCTGTGTGCCCTTCAACAGGTGAAGGGATAACGAAAGTAGGTATGTATATATACATAATTCAGAAACGCAGAAAAAAGAAATCTTGGCATTTGCAGCAAAATAAGTATCTCTGGCAGTTACTATGTTAAATGAAGTTTGCCAGACGCAGAAAGGTAAGTGCCTGTTCTCTTTCATATGTGGAAGCCAAAAATTAATTGATCTGAAAATAGAGCCGTGATAACTAGAGATTTGCAGCAGTGGTGAGGAGGGTTGGGTTTGATTGGTTCACGCTGCATTCGTGTATAGAAATATCTATTAATATGCAGAACTTTTTCGTTAAAAAAAATTAAGGCTAGATTCCCGGTACCCTCCCCATTAAGGCTGTTGCTGTCTGAGCAGAGTGCGCCTCCTGCTGGCCAGGCCCGGCTATCCCAGGCCTTGCGCTTCATCCGGGCAACCTGGGGAGCTCTTCTGGCGTCATCTTGTGCCTCTGGGCCTTCCTTTTCTTTTCTTTTCCCTCACTTTCCCCCTCCTCCCCCTTTTTTCCCCTTCTCTGCCCTTCCTTCTTTTCCTCCCCTTGTTTTCTCTTTATTTCATTTTTTTTCTTTCATTGTGGCAAAATACACCAAATATAAAATTTTCCATTTTAACCACTCTGATGTGTGAGTTGGGCAAATACATTCACATGTTGTACAGCCCTTGCTACCATCCATCTCCAGAATGCTTTTCATCTCGCAAACTGAAGTGCTATTCACTAAGCAGTAACTCCCACGCCTCCTCCCTCAGTCCCGAGAAGCCCCATTCTGTCTGTTGTCCGTCCCTGTGTATCTCGCCGCTCAGATCCCTCTTGGCCGCGGAAGCCTATGTTATCGGTCGTTCTGAGGCTGGCTTATTTCACAGAATATCCTCCAGGTTCATCCGTAGTGCAGTGTGCATCCAAATTGCTTTATTTTTTTTAAGGTTAAATCATATTCTCTTGCACAGATACACCATACTTTGTTTATCCATTTCTGAATAAACACTCGGATTGGTTCCATTTTTTGGCTCCTGTGAAAAATACTTGCATGAACATGAATCTACAAACACCTGTCTGAGTCCCAGCTTCCAGTCCTTTGGAATATATTCCCAGAAGTGACGTGCCTTTCTCTTATGTCCGCAGTTTTGTTTTGTTATTAGTTAGTTGGTTTCCTTACTTCCTCTCTCCTTGCCCTGTGATATTTCTATAGGTTCTGCCTCTGGAAAACAGGATGAAGGATGCCCGCTACTTCCCTGCCATCCTGTCTTTGGGGATGTCCATCATCACTGCCCTGTACATCGCCATCGGGGCCCTGGGTTACCTGCGCTTCGGAGACGACGTCAGAGCCAGCATAACCCTTAACCTGCCCAACTGCTGGTACCTTCGTGGACTCTCAGGTGGCGGGACGGAAGGGTGGATGGAAACGTGCCGTTCTCATCCTCTTCCCTTGCCCAGCTGGGAAGCCAGGACCTAGAGGGGAGAGGCAGCGTTGTCGCTGGAATCCTGGGCTCCCCAGCTCCTCTGTCAGCAGCAGCTCCCCAGCTGAGTTAGGCCGCATCACCTAAGGTGATGGGGGACGTGACTCAGAAGTGAGGGCAGAAGTGAGAATCTCTGGTCGCTTAGGGAGAGGAGGGACGAGCACCGGAGGAGGGTCGGAGGAAGGAGTCTGGGGGCCGGCACTTCTGATCCCCCTTACCAAGGTGTGGGAACAAGTCTGGCCCCTTAGTCGGGGTGGCCAGGATGAAAGGTGTAATGCGCCCACGTGGAGGACCGCTGGAATCTGTTGGGCCATTGGAAGCATTTTCTGTCCAGCATACCCAGTTGGGCAACAGTTTTATGCCACCATCTACAACAGGGCCATCTGTACACGGACACAGGACCCCGCATCACACTGTCCACATGAAGACAGAGTGTTAGCTGTAGGGTGCCTCAGTCTTTCTAGCCACGTGGTCGGTTGGGGGCCTAACTTGCCCAAATGGGGCTCTTTTCCCATAAATGTCAGTCTCCAACCAGTTACTACACACAGATGCCAGTCTAGATGGATTGGGGTGTGGACCACGGTGGTGGAATTCCACTGTCTTCTGTCACAACAGGGTAGAAGCAGAGAGGTAGACAGTAATGCACGCAGACTCTGCCGTGTCCTTCAGAGCGACAAACAGGCCTTGCAGGTTTCATTGCTGCTTTGTGTTTCAGGATGCCGAAACAGGAGGGTCAAAAGTTCTAGGCCAGTCTGGGCAACTTAGCAAGGCTTTGTCTCAAAATAAAGAGGAGTGGGGACGTAGGTCAGTGATAGAGTTTGCCCCTGGGTTTAATCTCCAGTACCACCAGCACACAAAAAAGAAAGACGAAGGAAGGAAGGAGAGAGAGAGAGAGAGAGAGAGAGAGAGAGAGAGAGAGAGAGAGGACGAAGGGAGAGAAACAAAGGAA